ATTTCAATAAAATAAAATCATATTTATTTTAAAATTTAAAATATTTCTTGTAGTTTCGTATTTATTAAATTTAATCATCTTTGATCGTATACATAATAAAATCAGCTCATTTATTCTCATCATGCAGATTTTATTATTCCTTATATTGTCATATTTAAGTAATCTCCTCAATTACTTATTCGTTTATAATCTTTCTATAAAAGATATCTAAAATTACGAAGCAAAAATTAATCCATACATTATGCAACCCCCTTCGGGCTTTGCTTTCCCACTTACGACACAAGGTCAACGTTGGAGCGGTTTTTATCGTTCTGAACAAAAAAAAAAAAGGAAATAGATATGATGCGAAATGTAAATATTGTTTGAGCGAATTTATTGGCAAACCTACACAGCTTCATCAGCATGTGCTTCGTTGTAGTGATTGGCCTGCTTCTGAAAAGGCCATTTACCTCCAAAAAATTGCTGAAGAAAGTCTTGCGCCTCGCAAACGTGCCCATGATAATGAGGATGATACTTCTGCTGAACAAGATTCTGAAAACACACATCAGCAATCTACGCACCTTCACCAAAGTACTATCGCTGATTGGTGTGCTCGACCCTTATCTCAGATATAATCAGAAAAACTCCATCAAAAGCTTTTAAAAGCTATTATTTATGGAAATATCCCTTTTAGCATTGTTGATAATCCTTAACTGCAAGATTATCTTCGTGATTTAAACCCTTCTTACCATCCTCCTTCCTGAGATATGATTGGTGGACATCTTTTAACCAAGATGTTTTCTAATCATTTTCAAGAAAAGTTAAATATGCTTCCTTCTCTAACAGATCTCACGGTATCTTTAGACAGGTGGACTGATAATTCCAGAAACTCTATTTATGGTTTTATAGCTCTTAAAGAGCGTCAGGAAATCGTGCTGGATATTCTCGATCTGTCTGCACACCGTCATACAAGTGATTTTCTTAAAGAGAAAGTAAAAGAAGTCTTATTAGCAAATGGCATTCAAATATCATCTGCTATTTTTATCATTACTGATAATGCATCGAACATGGATAAAATGAGGCGAATACTCAATGTAAGTATAATATTTTTAACACATTGTAAATATTAGTTATAATTGCTAAATATATAATATATTTGATTATTAAAATTAGGAGGAATACCCTAATATAATTCCTATTCGCTGCTGCTTACACGTTTTTAACTTGATTGTTAAAGATATTGTAAGCTTTTCTAGTACCGTCTCTGTATGTAAAAAGAACCAAAAACTTGTAAACTTTTTTAATTCGTCACATATTTGGCGTCGAGAATTATAAAGCTGGTAAAAGGATCAAAAAATTAAACACGCTTTGGCAACGTTTTGTGAAACAAGATGGTATTCTCTTGCTAAAGTTTGTATGGGTGTGTCAGCATATGAGCAAGGTTTTCAGCACTGTCTAACGTTGAGTGAAACCAATCGTCCCAAATATC